AATTTAGTTAGGATAACCACGTACGCCTCACACCTCAAAATTTAGTAAAGATTGATAATCATTCAGGCCTTACACAAGCTTTTGATGACTAGTGATCTTGAAGAAAAAAGTAATAACTTGAATGGTGCAAAAACAGAGGAAATCTTCGTAGAAAACCTCACAGGTCTGACACAACAAATGAACAATATTTACTTTCACCAAAGTATTCATCGCTTAACAGTTACTAAAAGCCTTACTGAGCCCCCGAGCGAAGCAAGCATAGGAAACAGCCTGATAGAATCTCTCGGTGGATCTCTTTGCACATTCAAGAGGAAGTGTCGAAAACTGAAAAAGGAGGTCGAAAATGTGGATTTTTACGGCAAAAAGAGGAAGAGCAAAAAAAACAACACGAGAACCTGCCCATTTAGGTTACAGAGAAACAACACAAGAAACATCTGATAATTGGTGGCCAATACGGGCGCTCAGTATTGGCCACCAATAAAAATCGGAGAAAATCTGCTAAAAATAATGTGTTATTGCGTTACCTCGGAGAAGTACATGGATCAAATCAACTGGCCTCTGGCGTAAAATCAGGCATCGAGGGAGACGTCCACGCGATAGAAGAAGTCTTCGATAGCAATAAAGAAGATGGACATGGTTTTATACTGATGGGCACCTCGGATGCATTCAACTCATTAAAGCGTGAAACTGCATTATGGAATGTTAGAGTGTTATGGCCCAGGTGTTCCCGTTTTTTTTCCAACACCAACAGAGGATCTGCACAACCGATAATTGGAGGAATAACAGAAATTCTTTATAGCTGTGAGGGAACAACTCGAGGAGATTCACTGCTTTATTTGTTTCATTGTGTCTCTTTGATGTCTCTAATCATTTCACTCGAGTAACACAATGAGTATCGTCAAACGTGGTATGTAAAAGAATCAGGAGCTTTTGTTGAGTTGAAGAAGTTGTTTGATTGGTTGGCACTCCTGATTGAGAATGGGCCAAAAATTGATTACTATCTTGATCCAAGCAAGCGCTATTTGGTTGCACAACCCTACTTTCTTGATGAAGAAAAAATGTTTAATTGACAAGTTCGGTACCAAAATAATAGAAGGTAGAAGATATTTAGGGGCGTATGTTAGTTCAGAAAAAAGGAAGCACCATTTCATTGGGAATAAAATTCGAGAATGGCTGGAGTGCATCGCAGAGTTATCAAAAGGTACAGAGAATGAAACTCAAGCTGCACTGGTTGGTTTAACAGGATCGTTGCAAAGTGAATAGAATTTTTTTTACAGAATGGTAAGAGATGCATCACAGTTTTTTTTACTCCTCTTGAAAGATGTTGTAAGAAAAACTTTCGCCCGATCTTCTGGGAGTCTCTTGTATCAAACGCACGGATAGCGTTATGTTCTTCTGTCTAGCAAAACGAACAGATTTGGGATTACAGAACTCAGTTGAAAGTGCCAATTTAGCCTTTTCTACTTCGTGAAGCCACGAATTTTAAATGAAAACTTCAAATATAAAATTGGCTATTTCTTTATAAAGGTAAAGGTGATTTTTTTTCATTACTTGCTATTACAAAAAAAAACAGCTATAACAAAATAATCATTATATAACGATTGCTAATTGAAAACAATATTTTTTAACCAAAAAACAGCAACTGACAAAACCAAATCAGTTTCAGCTAAATAATTGTCTTTACTTTGTTCGTTCGAATTTAAAAAACAAAGAAACCAAACTTTTGGACGCCTTTTCAGTCAAAAAATATTATTAGAAACTTGATTTTAGAAAAAGTTCATATCTGAATGCTTTCACTACTTGCAAGCCTTCCAGTGCACCCAAAAAAATATTTTCGAACGAAACAATTGGTGGCTGCTAAATTATTAAGAATATGATTAGTTGGTTTTGACGGTGATGGAATGTGTCTCAACGAATATGCAGCATAGAAGGCAAAACTTAAATTTTGCCTGTTTTTTTAACGGCTGTTTAGTGGCAATTGTATTCTCTAGCGATGCAACCTTGGTTACTATGATTGAATCTAAACACGATGAGCTCCTCCAATTAAGGAATGACTGAATTTCAAGTAGTATAAAAGCGACATTGGATACATCTTTGCGTGTTGAATTAAAGGAAACAGTTGAAAAATTACTCTATCCCGCTCTACCTTCATAATCTTCAAGAAGTACTTTTCTGCGATGAAAACAACTTCATTCTGAAGGAAGTGCCAGAAAACGCTGAGTTATAAAACGAAAAATGGTATGGATGCAATTGCTCTTGATTCTTTTAAAGTATACGGGCCTCTCTGCTCACGGCAAAACAAATTCAGCTTGGCTGTAAGTTAGATCATTAAACCTTGGAACCAATTAGAGGCGAAATAGTAGACCCATCTTTGTTTCAGCTTCCAAGTCAAACTCCACGAACAAACAATTCACGAAACACTCAGTCTGAAAAATTAAAAAGTTTCAAACTGCCAGTCTTTGAAAACAAATTTTTATTCTAGGTTGATTGCAAAGTTGTAACAAAAGTCGTGTTCAACGTTATCAGAAAGGGATTCAAGAATCCAAAGAAAAACTGATTTCTACACGAAGAACCAGCAGTTTCTTTACGAAAACAACTAGGGCCGATAAACTCTGATTGATTCACTGGAAAAAAAAAGTTTACTGCTCAATTGTCACTATAGGAAGTCTAAAGAAGCGTCAAAAACTCCTTCAGACATTTTAACGAACAATATATCGCGTTAACATCTAATGGATGGAAATATGGCTATTCGAATAAAAATCAAGCAGTGACTTTTTTCTAGATTCTTACTGCAGTGTTGATTACCATGTTGACTACGATGAGCACGGTGGAGCTTTGATTGTTTCTACAAACTTCAGTGAATCTATTTTGGGCATTATTGCTTCCGACTTCTGAATTCCTGTCAGTGAAATTAATCAAATTTTACAGCCATCATATCATGGTCAAATACGAAAGCGGAAACTGGTTCTGAACAAAAAAAATTTTGTTCGATCAGTTTTTTGGTTTGGTATCTGCCGAAACAACCTTGTGACATACTTCACATTGAAGACAAACGTTTTCTATTGGATGTTATCTGGTTGCCATAACTCAAGTTTTAGCTCAGCGGATCAAATGCTTTCAATTGTTTTTAAAAGGAGCTAGAGAAATATCAATAGAGAAATATTTTAAAAGGAGCTAGAGAAGCTTACATTTTTCCTGTCGTTTTACTATCAAAATGGTACTAGCTATCGTTCTGGAAACTTTGTTACATTTAAAGCTCCTCACTGTTTCTTCACCAACAAGCTGATCTTTCGATACTCTGGAAAAGAATTAATAAACTGTTGACATAAATCACAAAATTGGGGAAAATCAATATGGAATGACTTCAGATCAATCCCAAAATTTAATTCCAAAGTCTCCCCCAAAGTAGTTTTTCTTCTTGTTGTTCTAACCAAACTTTAGAATAGCCAAAAACAGCAAGATCAAAGAAAATTTTAAGTGGAAAAAAAGCAAAGGGAAACTGCAAAAACTCGTTTTTAGTTTAAAAAAAAACAGCAAAGCAATTTCCATTTAGAGTAAACGTTTAAACTGCAATCGAGCTTTGTTTTTTTTTCTTAAAAAATTCGATCAAATTGTTGAACAAGAATTATTAACTACTATGATAGACTGGAACTTTAAAAACCGCCAGTTTTCTCGAGAATAAAACACCTAGACCTCTCAATTTGTTTTAATTTGATTTTGCCATTCTGAAACATGGTCAAGCCTATTCTAACATTTTTTTTTGTTTTTTAAATGAATCAATCATGAAATTTCCCTCATCAATAATTCAAGCTGGAAAATTCAAAAAAAACTGATTACAATCAGATTTTTTATTTTTGCATTTGAAACTATAAAGAAAATGTTAAAACGGGCATTTTGTTTTATATTGTTTGTAGGTAATAACAATTTCTGGTCTTTTTACTTATTCCGCCCAAAGCTTCTGTTTTTGCGATTTTATAGTATTCTATGGATAAATGTATTGGTTTGGGTAATACAAATGCATCTGTTTTTTCTCTTTCGCCGATTTCTAACAAGCCCAAATTTTCAGCAGACGTGAAGGTAGTCTTTTTTCTGGAGCTATTTCGGCGTTCTGTGATCTGGTGTGCGTAAAACTCTGCAGCCTTTGCGAAACAAATTTGAATATTTATATTTTGACTAATTCGGCTTATTTAGAAATCGAGTTACAACTGTGAACAGACGAGTTTTAGATGGTGCTGAAACTTGAAGGAAAGCTCTAGAGAATAGATTGGAGCTAAATAATTCCAGTTTAAAATGCTTTGATTTCGATTTTTTTGGCGGTATAAATAAACAGATTCCAATGTTTCATCTGAAACTTTAGTGTATTATATTTTTTATCTTGGGGTGGAACTTTGGGTTCGGGTGTTTTTAAGTTTATTAGCTACCACGAATAATCATCTGAAAAGTTGAGTGATATATCATATCAACGCCCTTACAGGCGTGATCCAACATTAACCTATTTTAAAAAAAAATTTCGCAGTATCGAGAAAAACGGATTTTAATTTTATGGTTTTCCGTCTTAATTTGAGCGCATAAAGCGAGCAAGCAGGCGTACAATAGCTTATTTTGATTGATGAAAAGCTTAATTTAGAACGTATTAACTTAGTTTCACTTGAGTAACGTTAATTTTTTTTCAATAGTTTTAGCGCCTTTTTGGAACTAAAAACTTCAAATTGAATAAATTACAAAAAAATCGTTTTTCTAGTGATTTTTCTACAAAAATTGTGTTACAATTTGTTTATTCCACAATGGGTGACAAATATGACTCATCTCTGAATTTTCGTTCAGCTCCTTTTATCACACGATCCAAAAAATAAAAACACTTAATTGAAAAAAAAACTTAATTTTTTCAAAGACTATGATCGTAACTTGCACTTTAACCGGCTATCCTTGTTTGCTTTTTACTTTGCTTACTACTGTAATCTAACACTGCCTTTAAACCCTGTCTTTGATTTAGTAGGAAACAAGCTAACTAAAAGTGAATTTACTCATATTTTATCAGCTACAAATTAAGATTTGCAGACATCGATTCCAAATTACCCGGCTTTGGTTGGTTAACTCACTCACAACATGAATTGCATCATGATCCAATAAATATTGACTGCCAGAGACAAAAAAAATCTATTTATAAGCCACTTTCTACCAACTTTTATTTTTCAATTTGAGAAGTGGTATTTATTCATGAGAAAGTATTCTTTAGCAACAGTATTTTACACAGACAAAACAGCATAAGAATGATTATCGTAAGTATTTATGCATCATGGGGCGTACCTTTAATCTCAGAAAATTATTTGTCTATGCACATTTGCTTGAAAATTTCAGCAGGATGACTCCACGGGGAAATCTTTCCGAGGTATAAATATCAATTCAGGTATTTTCATCTCCCGCTAGTAATTTTAGTTGATATAACAGTACAAAACAAATTGAATTTTTCAAGGAAAAATTCAACATCTTTCAGCAGCATCCTTGTCTGAATTTGCTATACGAAGCGAAAACTTCAGTTGTGAATTTTTCCTCCAAGACGTCAGTGAAAATGAAATAAGTTAAAAATAAGCACCATTTTTGGATTAACCAAAATACTCAATAGAAGAATCTAGCGCAATTTAAAGCGACTGTTTCCACATAATATGAAACAGGTCACGTTTTAGTAGCACATACATGATTATTGAACATGACTTGCAAAAAAATAGGAGAAGCATTTGTATCAATTATTCTACAATTTAATTTAAGGAAGATATTGTCAAAAAATTGGTGTTATATAGATAACACATGGACAAAACTGGTGACACGCTAAGAGAAACGTTCAGAGATATGATAAATAATCAGGGCGTTTATAGTCTTCAAGTTAGAAATATCCGAAATGAGAGGTAAGTGTATACCACACCACTAATAAATCGTCATATCATAGGATGCGTTTAGGTAATAAATTATTTATTATCACAATAAAAAAAGCCTCTTTTTCATCCAGCTGCAATCTAGAAATTGGACAGAATTGGATAGATCGATATCAGACTCGTAGATTACGGAAGAGCGAACATGTCTAATTACAATAGTGCTATGATACAATTAGTGTAGTGTCTATCAATTAATTGATCGATTAATTTTCTGCAAGTTAGTTTGATGATGAGTAAAATCTGTTCAATCATGCAGCTTCGCACCCAAATTTTAGGTCTAGAGTTATTCGCGTATTCATCTTATGTCATGATTCTCACACAGGCTGGTCCTGGTCAAAAATCAGTCGCGTCTGGTCGTTTTGGCATAAAGTAGCAGATTCAAGAGAGATTATCTTCTAGATCCGATGGTTTCTTTGGCTGCCACGATTAAGGGGTGCAAGCTCTTCAGCGATTTGCACTTTCTCAGAAACTCGTGCTAAAATGTCAGGTAACATCGGATTAAAATAGGTCAAAACTTTGAATAATGTTATCAGAACACTCGAGCAGTTAATATTTAGTTAAAATAACTTCCAGTGTTAGCTAATATTCAGTGAAACCATTTCAAATAACGACAGAATGTTCAATATTCTGAGGTCCAGATAAATTTTTATTTTAAGCTAACAGCACAAACAATATAACTTTTCCTGATAAAGCACATAAGCAGTATCCAATCAACGAACCAAGAGCATGATTGTGTCTTTATGGGTTCAACTGCGTTCAAACGCATGAAAGAATCCGTCATCAACCTCGGCGACTACTTCATTCAAACCAGCTTCAAAAGGGGAAACGAAAGTCAAGTCAATCTACTCCTGAGACAATTGTTTGTCCAATTCATATATGAACGAATGGAAACTTCATTTCAACACCTCACTCATCGCCATTTGGAAGCAATTATGACGTGTAATCGCAAGCAACCTTCAGCCAAACGCCATTGACTTATAGAATTAATACCATAATACAAATTACCAGAAAAATAAATAGTAATATAACCAACAGCTATTACTTAGCGAAATCACTCACTGTTAATACAGCAAATATTGCTAGCCTAGCCGACTACCATCTTAACAAACGAATTTTGGTTTAAGCAAAATCTGATGTTTTCGCCGAAAAGATGCTATACTTTCAAATTCGAATGAAAATTTATATCGAATTGCTTAGTAATCTCAGTCTTGCTTAATAATCTCACTCTTAGAGACAAGCATGTTTCTGAGATATGGATCAACATTAATATTCAATCTAGTTTTTTGTTCGCGCGGAGGAAACCAGCACCCGGTAGGCGGAAATTTCCAGCAGCGAGTTCGTGAGAACAATTTCTACGGCCACTTACCAAATACATCAGTAGACAACACTAACTCATTTCCCAGTATGCGGCCATGGTGAAATAAAGGAACTCACTCCAAGCCGATTATACCAGCAAATAATGCAAGATGCCATGAATTTATCCAGGTAACCCACCGTCAACTTATGCATTAATCGATTGATTTTATATTAATTGGGGACATATGCATCCATAAACTGCCAACCATTGGTTGCAGCAGAAAACGCTATTAGTTATAAAACATTACTAAAAGGCGGATCCAACTGAACGAAAAACAGGCTCTTGTTATCACAGCAATTGATTAGGTGGGAACACCATGCCAATATCTCGTCACTTCGTTGATGCGCTGCCACTCCAAAATGTAATCATCAGCTATAAAGTTATTAATTTTCAATTACCAGTTGAGCTTTAAATCACTTTAATCGGGTTTCGACCACCCTTTCGAGTATTAAAAAATCTATACAATCGAGGTAGATATTAACAGATGATTTGACAGTTTCACTACTCCAAGAGTTCCAACTCGATGTTCCAAGAGTCCTCAGAAATATAAGCACAAGAACAGTTCTTAAGATCACCGATGTGCTGCGATCTCCTTTGCAATGATAATCAGGGGTCGCAAACTCTTCAGTGGTTTGCACATTGTAATGAAGGGGTGCTGAAAGATACATTGACTACGATCAATTTCAACTATTTAAAAAATTTCTCCAAAATTATACAAGGCCAACAGTCATTTATACAAAATTTTCTATGAACTCACAGAGACCAAAGAAATCTCTTTTTTTTAAAACGAGTTTTAAAATATTAAACAAAAAATATATAACTTTAAAGCAGTTTGAGTTTCATAAATCAAGAATGATTGATTTTTTCGATAAAACGAACTAAATTTGGAAAACTCGATCAACACGTTATTTTTTTTTACTCCACTCAGGGTGACCAATTTTCGAATTTTTTTGTCGACCTATTTTTTTTAGGTCGGCCAAATTAATTCAATTTTTCAAGCTCTGCCAAAGCACTGAAAAGTGCCTGTTTTGGCCAAAATGTCTGCGCCTCAAGCATAATTTTGAATAAACAGGCTAAAAAAGTCAGTTAACGGCACTTTTTGAAAAATTTTGAAAAAAAATTGCGTTTTTCGGCGCGGGCTCCCCCCTCAATATTAGTATATATTGGCGCCCAAGGCGCCTTCAGAAAAATTTTAGGGTCCGTCACCAAAAACCGTTCTAAATAGTGACTTTTAGTGACCATTGAAAAAATAGTGACCAATAAGTGACCAATAGTGACTGGTCACTAAAATAGTGACCAAGTGGTCACCCTGACTCCACTTTGAAATCAAAAAATTCATTTTGAATACTGAAAGCGAAACATAGCCAGCCGGTGATTGTAAAAGTGTAAGTTAACAGAGAACTGAAAAAAAAGTTGATTTGATTTTCTTAACATTTGTAACTTTCGATATTCAAAAATATATATACCACATTGAAGCTCTTTTAATTTTAAAAATTGTTTATGATTGGCATTTTTTTCGTAAATTTATCCCATTTAGAGAAAACTGGATCAATAGGTATTTTTTACTCCGCTGAGAACTCAGAAAATTGAAGTTCATTCACGTTTTACACGTTGATGTTCGATAGTGCAGTTTGCCTTCCTTTGAACAAAGGAAAAGAACTAAACTTCAAACAACAATTAAATTCAAAACGTTTAAAATCAAACTTGAGCGTGATCAAATTTTAAGCATTTTTTTTGAAAACAGCAAAAAAAAGCCAACGGTAGACAAAAAGATTGAACAAAAACAATGACATGCTTTGAAAAAATCTCACTTTTCGAATGTTAAAGAAAAAAATAGTGACCTTAAAACTATTTGATTTACTAGAATAATTTATGACTGACACGTTTTTGATTAATTAAACCCAAATTGAGAAAACTGAATTAAAAGTTATTCTTTTCATAGCGCCGCAAGTTATGATAAGAAAAAAACATTTTCCAAATTAGAAAATGATCACGCTTTTCATGACATTTTTACTTTTGACGTATTTAAGATTGTCTTGTAGATTTAAAATTATTTGTCTCTTTGTTTTACCAGTCAAAATTACGAAGGTACAAGTTCACACAAACCTAGACAAAACTGTTAAGATTTAACCGCTTTTTCTGATAATTCTTATCAAGATTATCCTCGAGAAGGTGACTGTAGTTTGGAAAAAGGGGGGAGGGTGCTGCACCCGGTTTTTTTCTGTGGGAATTCAATTGAAGTACAAGTCTGAAAAAAATTTTGGGAGTTGCGCGGGCAAATTTCACTGCTCGTCTTCTTGAAGTATCTATTTTACAAGAGGGTGCATCCGAGCCGGTAAAAACTTCTAACGAGGTTGAAATGGTTTACACTAAAATGTTCCAGCTGCTCATAGAACCTCGAGAAAATAGCTCTAACACTTCAGTGTAAATCAAGTCAACAACCACAGCTTAGCGTACGTGGCGCTTTGAATTTACTCAGCATTTTTCTCTCGTCCAGCTAAGTGTCGAACCACATAATACTAGTAAACCTACATTCAATCTACAGTCAGTCTTCTTAGTGGAAGCTCTGAGTTTTGACGCCATCGATTCCTTAACATATCATGAGCTCTCTACTCTCTCTACAACCAACTTCGACATGTAAACTTTCCTGATCTAGGCGACAACAAAGTGCAATATTTACTAGCCGAGCCGTAGATGCGCTTTGGAATATTGCGGATTGCGATATCAGGAAAAGTCTTACAGGCACCCCCTACGATGTCAAAAATCTACTAGGTAGGGCAACCACTGGTCCGCTCCAACCAGAAATCTAATGTGACTGAGTCAAGTTCGCATTTAACTAATTTCATTAACACAAACGAACAAAAAGATGCTACTCTCACTACAGTAGTAAAAATATTCTGTAATGTGGAAGGATCAGGCATCCAAAGACAAAGCTTCATTCGGAAAAAAGTATGAGACAACAAAATTTTGTGGAATAAAACATTGAGCAAGACAGAGATCACTACAAAATAAAACTAATGTAGAAAGGCCCACCGGTAGGAAACGCTCAACTGCAATCAGTACAGAAACAGCTAAAAAGCATCCAGCAAATTTATGAAAAAGCCCTCACTACTGACCTGGAAAAAATTACGTCAAGCAAGTTATTTTTCAAAACGCATAACCGGAACTAATTTGGTACCTCCCACACTACCAGGTGAGTGATCCAAACAAGCCCGGAAAGGTATGAAGGGTTGCCTAAGCTGCCTCGACTTTCAATGTTGTCTCGTTTAGTTCCAACCTTTAAACTGGATCAGACTTACTAAACATGTTTGGCCTTATACAACGATTCCGGGAAACATCTGTGGCCGTATTGGTGAAATTTGAAGGTATTTTTATACAACTAGGCATTGAAGAGGAGGCATTCACTCCGAGCTACGCTTCCTTTAGCCTGCCCAAAAACAGTATGAAGTAAGGCCAATACATCCGATTTAACTTGGTGAAAATGCTCATCATCAATGGCCATTTTTGCGTTTCATCTAACAGATGCCGACTAATGCGTAACCTGGTCTACTATTGCTGAACTGCTGCATGAAAGCATCTATATGGACGACTTCGCTTATTCAATCGGCACGAAAAACGAGGCTAAAGACAACACGACTAAAATCGCCCTTAAGACAGGGTAGATTGAACCTATCGCCCATGACGCGGCGGTGAAAAAGCACTACTGATGCTACAGTGCATCCGGCCCTAGGCAGCAAATTGGATACACTTGAAGCTGCGATATTCGCGCAACCAACGACCACGGTAACTAGTACCACGTCTGCACTCCGAACAGTCCTCCCTACAGCAGTATTTCTCGGCCCACCAGGTATTCTAGCGACGTTTGTCGCTATATTTTCCGCAAAATTCAGCTATATACACCTTTTCTTGACAATGAATGGATTCGAGCACAAGGAAGTATGCATCATGGGACTGATTACGTTCGTAAGTACTTGCAACAAAATTTCGTCATCGGTGGACTTCGAAGTGCCCGTACACAAACTCGACATTAAAGCTTACTCTGCAAAAGAATTTGGGGCAGACGTTTAAGTCATCTCACGGCTGACTTGCCATAAACACGCCTAGACGGCCCAAAAGATTACTCTTTTGCTTCAAAAACACAATTGATCACTTAGAGCCATTCTACAATGCTACTAAGAATGCTATGAAAAAAAAACTATATTTGCCTATTCACCTTCTTCTCTACCTGTGCATTACTGTTAGAAACCACGGAAAAACTTACCACTGACAACAATTCGGCGCTTCATTGCCTGCAGGGACACTCCGAAGCTATTTTTATCCGACAATGCTACCTACTTTGTCGGCGCCCATAGGCAACTATGCTTTGAGCCAATCGAGCTTAATGCAACCGTACTAACTCAACAGTTCTAAATCCAAACTTTTGAATGGCCTCCTAAATCTCCGTCTATCCCTCACTTTGGTGGTGTGTGGTAGCGACTGGTTTCAATGATCAAAACGAGCGTTCTTACTAAATCTAGGTCGACGACTATCGAGAGATCTATTTGCTTCTATTGCAGTCCAGACTGAGACAGTTCTTAACTCTCTTCCACTAACTCATGTCAGCATCGAAATCGACGTCGGCCTTCCGCTGACGCCTAACCAATTATTGATGGGTCACGACACCATAAAGAGCGCGCGATGCTATCCGAGGCGCTTAAAATTTCTAGCACTCGGCCTGGTTTCCAGATGCCTTCTGTAAAGTCTTCAAGTTCCCACACCATGTCATCTTTTTCGAGCGGTTCCTCGGGATGCGACTATTTAGTCCTTGTGATGAGAATTGGGGTGCCAGAAGCTTCTTCAAGTAAACGCCGCCAGAAGCTGTCAAGTCTATCTTTTGCTCGCTTCCAGGACTTGTTAGACAATTTGTATCTTGAAGCTTTTGACCCACTACCCTCCTCCTTTGATTCCAAACTAAGACTCTCCGAGGATATTCATGATATGAATTGTCTTTCGAGCGGTTCCACAGAAAATACTGTCCTGATTTGTGTGAAATGGCTTATTAACAAATTTGACTTCTGAACCAAAGAGACGATTAAGACTAAATCTACAACAGTCTCAAATATGCTAATCGATAGTGGAATTTGTCTTCCTGAAGCCGCGTTTAAGACTTCTCCTGAAAATAAATCATCACGACCTATACAAGTATTGAACTACGTTCATCCACTCTTAAAAATCACGACCTAATTAAGTGACAATAAATTCGTTCTTTCGTTATACTAGATCACATTTTTTCACCATTTGGACTTTTGTTATTTTGGAGCATGAAGTACTTTAAGTTTAGCAAATGCATTTGAAGCGAAACTGAAAAGAAATTGAATCAAACGGCAAAAATTTCCGAAAAAAAAGTTATTTCGCAGCAACTACAGCCAATATGTGCAATTAGATAATGAAGGCAATTCAGTCTCTGCATTAATAATCTAGCTGTTTTCTTATTTATCTAAAGAACTGCACCTTGAGTAGCTCGTCGGCGGTGGGTCTCTTCTCGACTTCAATCTCAAGACAACTCGAGAGGAAGCTGAGGAACTCCTTGGAGGCCCTCTTTTCAGACTCCTCGGACAGTCGCGGGGTGCCTTGGTTTATGATCAAGTAAAGCGCCTGTAACTCAATCAGTCTTCATCCAATAAAAGCAGAACAATCAGCAAAAAGCAAGCCAGGATAATTAAAAAAACCTTAGTCAAAAAATATATTTTTTTAAAATTGTAATTTGGCAAACAGGGGCGGATCTAGATTTTTCGTTTTTCTAGTGGGGGGGGGGGGGGCGGATTTTTTAAAAAAAATCGAAAATTTTGTCGCCTTTTTTTTAGATCGACCAAATTGATTTTCCGAGCTATCCCAAAGCACAACAAAGACCCTTTTTTTGGCCAAAATTTCTGCGCCGCAGGCATAATTTAGTAAAAACAGACGGCGCGCGCTAAAATTTTAGGGTCCGTTACCGGAGATGGATATCTCAAAATAGTACAAAGGGGGACCCTTTGGGTCGGCAGGGGATCGAATCCCTCAGGGAAGGGGCGTCATATTTTCTCATATTTGTCCAAACGGCCACCTTACTTTGATTGGTGTTTCATTCAAATATGGTGGCTCTCCTTCCAGCATCTCAATGGCCATAATTCCAAGAGACCAAACATCAACTTTAGGTCCATAGGGCTGTTTGTTTATGACCTCGGGTGCCATCCAGTAGGGCGTACCGACCATCGTTGACCTCTTTCCATTTTCCGGGCTAATTTGGGCACAGAATCCGAAGTCTGTTAGTTTGACCTGTCCGTCCATCCCGAGAAGGATGTTGTCGCTTTTTATATCACGGTGGATGACGTTGTTGGCGTGGAGGAACTTGAGAGCCTGCAGTACCTCTCGGCACACCGCCGCAATTTGTCCCTCGTCCATCATCGTCTCAGTCACCACGTCTGTCAGAGATCCACCAGGCAGAAATTCCATCACGACCTACAATTTTATATTCTGATATCACTCTTTTCAAACTATTACAAAAATAAAACAATACTTCTGTTTAATTAACTATCATTTCTCCAATTAATGCCTTCTATATGAAAAAAAAAATTCTAGTCTGATACTTGGAATCAGTTTAGTGCATGTTAGATGATTCAGCTCATCAATTCTAACAGTAGGTCGTCGGTGTCATGTTTTAAATAATAGTTAAGACATCCCGTCAGACTATTACAATGACCCAAGTTTACATCCAAATTTCCGATAGTTACAACACAAATCTTTCACTTCTATTCACAGCAGGACATTCTACTTTTTAAACTAACCCACAGTTCCTCCTGGTGTTCTCCCACGAGGTAACTGTCCAAGTAGTTGACAATATTCACGTCCTTGTTCTCCTTCATCACTATGATCTCGTTCACAATTAACTCCTTCTTCGGCTGGTTGGCCAGAGTCATCTGTTTGATGGCCACAGTGGCCTTGGTCTGGATGTCGGTGGCCGTGAACACCACCCCACTCGCTCCCTGTCCTATCTTTTTGAAGCTCACGTAGCGTCTCTTAGGGTCTCCCGGATTGCATACCTCTTCTGCAAAACAAAATAATTACTTTTAATAACTGTTTTCCTAGTACTTCGGGAAAGAAATATGGCGTAGTGTCTACTACTTTTTTTTTACTCATGGAGTGAAGGGTGGTATTATATTAAAGCAGTAGCGGATTAAGAGGGGTGGGCGACACGCTTCCCCTCCCCCAGGAATTTAACAACAACAAAGACCAAAAAGTCCCCCTTTCGATTTTTCTAAAAATTTTTCGAAGGGCGCCTTCGGCTCCGGTCCATTTGTAGTAGAGCTATCAAAAATTTTGACAATGCCATTTCTTTACGCACTGCTACAAATAGGAGCAACCCTTCTGGTAACAGTTTGAACTGTCGAACGCTCCCTATCCAGAATGAAACTGCTGAAAAACTACCTTCGATCTAAAGCCCTGTTGAATGCTATTTAGATTCTAAAAACATAGCTAACTGACCGTTGAAATAGTAATGATCGCAAACAAACAGAAAAAAAACTGACTTGTTTACTCATGGAAAAACTTCAACTTTCGAATTTTGAAGAAAAAAATATATGCCCTTAAAGCTAAGATAAACTTGATAAGATTCGGACGATTTAACCACAAGGAAAAGGATCAACATGCGAGCTGTGCAGCTTATCAATCACAGAGAACCACTATTGTGCCCCTGCTTAAGAACACATGATTTTTTTGGTTATTTTTTGTTATTATTTTGGCTATAAAATCAACCCAATTTGAGAAAACTGGATCAATAGTTAAATTTTTAACTCCGCTGAGAAATCTGAAGATTAAAATCCCTTTTCGAAACTAGAAGTCGATCACGCTTTCAATGACCTTTACAATTTTGCTGTTCGATAGTTTTACTTCCTTTAAACAATTGAAACGGACTGAACTTAAATAGAAATCAAAAGTCAAATCACGAAAAATCAAAGTTGAGAGTAAAAGCAAATGAAAAAAAAAAAACAGAAACATCACTACGACCTTGATGAAAGTTTTCACTTCGTTCATTACTTTTCAAAATTCAAAAAAGTATGGCTGATTTTGCGAAAAATGAGTCTGATGTTTTTGACTATTCAGACCAATAACCTAAATCAAAAAAACCAATAACATTTTCTAGAAAAAAATACATAAATAATGAACAAAAAAATTTTTTTTCAATGCTTTTAGAATTTCTAATTATTTCGGTCGGAAAAGTCTGTGCTGTTTGCACAACGACCGGCTATCATCGCTTGTTATATGTACTTTCTTGATAATTCATTCATTAATTCATTGAAACAATCAAACCAAATTTGTTTCATTGAGTGTTTTACGAAACATAGTATGAGAAGATATCATGAAAAGTATTTATATTTAAAAATCTTTTGCTTGTTTAGAAAAAAAAAATCTTTTTTATTTCGATTTTCAGCTATCGAAAAATCATATATTTAGATTTGAAATGTCTTCGCCTAAAATCTAAAATGTTCAGTTTTTGAACAACTAACTTAGCTTGCTCATGATCTGTTCATCTGACATCTTCTGTCTCCTAGGTCTCCGTGTCAACTGCTGTGACGACTGTTGGGTCGATCCATTGTTACTGGTCGACTCACTCTGCAAGGGTTTCTTCATTGAACTCGACCCTGTTGGTTTACTTGGAGACTTGGTTCCATGTGACGCCTTCTCATTGTGTTCGCTCCATTTTGGGGACGCTATTGGGCTGCCGTGGGAGAACTTAGACGATGACTTGGGTGACATTAGGTGGGTTGCATTGGCCAACGGGGACTGGGGTTTCTCCTTAGGCTGTGATCGCTGCGACTTCGGTGTTCCCGGCATGTGGGGTATGTTAGATGATAGTGCCGGACTCTGGCTGTTAATGAGTGCTGGTTTGGCGACCATTCCCACGCTTTTCTGCTGCAGACTAACAGGCGGAGGTCTCGTAGCACTGATCATAGCTGCAACTGCTTGTTGCTTTTCGGTCAAGTTTTCACTCTTGGACGTCATCGGTACACTTGGAGACATCTGAGAGGAGGCTCCAGAGTTCGATCCTGTAGTGATATTCTGTACTGAGTTGTTTTGATCTTTTGCTGCAGCTGAGTAAGGCATTTTAGGGTAAGAAATTTGCTGCTGATGGTGATTTGTACTATTTGGGTGCTTACTAGTCGTGTAAGATAGGGATGTATTCTGGGACGATGTACTAGTAATCGTGCTTTGCGAGGATGATGTATTTGTCGCTGCAGCCATATGAGGGGGTGGTTTGTACTGGAAGTGAAGTCTGCCGTGACTATCATAACTGCCCCCAGTACTGTTGCTATGTTGGTGGTGTGGGGTGATTGAGGTGGGGGTGTTGTTGTTATCCAGATGGGTATGATGCAACTGGGAAGACATGCCTTTAAAATTGTTGTCTGGCATGGTCGGACTGGTAGGTACTTGTGATCCGGAACCCTCGTGGAACACCTAAAAAACACTATCACTGTCTTGAAATGTTAATTTTTTTTGTTTTCTTCGGTATTTCGAAGTTTCCGCCAAAAATCAATTTGGTCCTTTATCAATTGGTTAGTACTTCTGTAATCTGTAGAAGGGAATTATTTCTCTAAGCGGCAAAATTTTTTCTATTTCATCTGAACGGCTCAAAAACGTCGTGGGGCGAACTCAAAACATGCGACAATTTTCTGAACAGTAGATTAAGCGACAAACATTGATCCAGGAGCACAACATCACTTTTTACGAATTGGCGACTGTTACGTATTGTCACCAACCAACAACTAAAGCCTTAATGTTGAAAAACATGTCAAACCTTGGACATGGTGTGTTGCGGCCTGGCCGGTATCTGAGGAACCGCTCCCATACTGCTGCTATGCTGATGCTCCACATTCGAATACCCATTATTGTTATTTATCACTTTACAGCCACCAGCGCCGCCTCCTCCCCCACCTACAAACTGGCTTGAGGGGGTTGACTCTTCCAGGCTGTTTCTCTCGTTACTTCCCAAACTACCTCCCGAGGAGTGGGAATGAGAGGACTTGTTGTAAGTGTCTCTCTGCCTCGGCTTTGACTTCTCATTGTCGCTCTGAAATTGTTGCTGATCGTCCGAAGACTCACGTTTGTGTTGCTAAAACAGCAAAATTATATCAGCTTGAATCATCTATTCAATAGTAAACAAAATAGTTTGTTTTCAGATTTATATTCAGACAGCATTCCTGCATCATTTACAATTTGTTTCAAGCATTTGTATAACTTTAGTGATAAAATTATTAAATAGTTGCAGACGTAGACAACGGAAAATTACATCCAAAAATTCGAAGACAAGTTAACGATCCCTTCGAGGACTTTAAAGAATGAGGCCAAATTCTAAATTAACAGAAGCGAATAAAGTAACGAATACCAAAAATAATTGCGCTTCTTCGCAACTGCTTAACCCAAATTTTAGTCTTCTTATCTAAAAGGCGGTCTGTTAAAGCGCAAGATAATCAGTCTCTTAAGCCATTTGCTTAACTACAAAACAATTGATCAAAAAAGCCAGCAAAATTTTTTAGTTTTATAGTAATAAATTTCTGTGGTAAATTATCAAGGGGGCATTGCGACTTGTCTGCCGAAAAAAATGGAACAAATTCAACTAACAGTTCACTCCACACTCAAACAAGAACAAAAAAGAAAAAAGGGCAAATGTTCGCAAAATCAAACAATTAGAACTAAAAGAAATAAAAATTTCAACTAAAACGGTGGAAGATGCAATAAAGCCCAGTAAGAAAAGCAAAGCGCTAGGACCTGATAACATCGCTCCAATCAATTAACATTTCATTGGAAAACAAGCCATCAAATACCTCAGTAAGTTGATAAGCCTCTCATTGAGTAATGCAACAATACCCGAAAACTGAAAAGTGGGAAGATAAATACCCCTGGCTAAGCCCGGTCAAGACCCCGAACAAGCTAAGAGTTACCGACCAATTGCACTGCTCTCTCCAGTGGCAAAACTCATAGAGCGTTTACTTTAACCCGAATTCAATTTAAATGTAAATTTTCAGGAACACCAACACGGTTTAGAAAAGAAAGATAGACAACTACTGCCCTTAATTGTATCTCATTTTACATAAAAGCTGGTTTGAACAAGGCCAAACCGCGTCAAAGAACATTAATGGTCGCCCTCGACTATACTGCAGCCTTTGATACAGTTGACCACCACCATCTGCTCAACCCCATCGCCAGCTCGAATCTTTCTAATAACACCAAAAGATGGATTCTTGCCTACCTACGAGATAGACATACATATGTAGAACTCAGAGACACTAAATCCAAATCCAGAAAAGTGAAACAAGGTGTCCCACAAGGTGGTTTGCTATCTCCGGTTCTATTTAATCTCTATGTCAAAAATGCCTCTACCAGAGAGTGATAACATCAAGGTGACTACTTATGCAGATGACATAACCCTCCCAACACCAGGGCCCAATATTATTGAAACCGATAGCAGACAGCATGAATCCTTACCTTAACAGCCTCAACACCTCGCTAACAGGCAGAAATCTTTCATTATCAAAAGATAAGCCCACAACATCAATTTTTTCAACATGGACGAATGAATTTAATTTAGAACCAAAAGTAATGGTTGACGGAACTAACCTGCCCACTGCTCGCAAGTTCTTGGAGTAAAGTTTGGCAACCAATTGAAATTTCACGAACACTGCAGTAAGACCTTTGACAAACTGCAAAAAAAGGAATAATGTACTCAAAAAACTTGCCGACTCTCTTTGGGGTTGCTCCAAAGAAACACTCAGCGTAACTTACCAGGCAAAAGGAAGGAGTGTTCTGAGCTACGCAGCTCCAATTTGGAACCCCACACTTAGCTAAACCAACTGGCAACGTTTACAAGTAAAGCAAAACAACGCCTTAAGAACAACTACGGGATGCCTCAGAATGAGTGACACAACACAAAGAAAATTGCATGATGAAACTAAAATTCTACCGGTTGAGAAACACAATAAAATGCTTTCTTCTTGGGTGCTACCAGGAGCACAGAGCTGACCACCACACTATTAACTACAAAGGTTTTAATCGGAACATCAGACCAACCCTCGAACATAAGTTCAAACCTGACATTCAACATTTGCTTAACGAAAACCAAGAGAACATCTCAAAGCTTGAATATGTTAACGGGATCAAAAATCTTCACACAACGGAAATACAAAACTTTTTAAACGAAAAGTCTAAGCTACTAGGTAGAATGCCTCCAACTTTATCCCCAAATGAAAGCAAACTTGACCGGAAAACTCGATGCACACTGTCACAGCTGCGATACGGATACTCAACTCACCTCGCCAGCTATCACCACAGGCTTAACAACAATATACCCGATGTCTGCTTAAGTTGCTACATTGGACCACACACCACCGATCATCTGTTTAACTGCAGGGTACACCCAACCTCAATTACCATCGAGAGCTTATGGGAGAATACCGAAGAAGCTGCCGAACATCTGCAGCTTATCACATAACCCCACGTAATGGGAGTTTTTCTCGGTCCTCTCCACTAACTAAAAACGGCCCGCTTGAACCGGGCATGGAGTTTCGGGGGCCCCTAGAATGGGTTTCAACACCACACCGACCAAAACCTCCCTCTTGCCATACAGAGGAAAAGGTGCCGACACCAGCACAGAGGGAAGGTGCCGACACCAGCACAGACGCTATCACTGGAAAAGGTGGTTCCCCTTCTAAGTCGGTTTTGCCGCTAGAGACCGTGGGGGAGCTGCAATGATAGATTGAACAAGACGAAACCAACATGACTAGACAGGAACAAAATTTCCATAACTCTCTCCTCTATCTCTCAGACATAATCAATCTCTGTAATTCAATCAGAAGCTCGAAGCAGAGATCGATGTAGCTACAGCAACTACAACAACAACAACTTGTCTGCCCTAAACACCCGCTCTATTAGTTCAAAGTTCGAGAACTTTGATCCAGTGTGTGTTATATTTCATCCGCTGTGTGGCATGAAGGAGCTGACTCCTTTCAGAAAACAGGCATTTTATTTTTTGACTATTAAGGCTGTTACAAAAGGAGCAATGAATATGCAGTGAAAATTTGAATAAACCTTAAGTGGAACGAAGAGCTCTGTATTTGTATTTTTCGAAGAACGTGAATTTCTCCGGACAACATATTTATTTGGCTATTCATGTCTGAGTTTGGGAATAGAAATGTGGGTTGCCCTAACTTGCATAAAAATAATAGCCCATCGAAGATTGGAAAAGAGTAATGAACGCAAGTAAACTTAAAAACTTTCTTGAAAAAGTCTCAACTTTCGATTTTCAAATAAAAAAATAGATGCATGCCCTTTAAGTTCTTTAATTTATTGAACAATTTATGATTGCCGCTTTTTTGATAACATGAACCCAACTTGAGAAAACTGGATCAATAGCTAAAGATTTTAGTCTAAATTTCCATTTATTTTCTTTTTCTATGAAAGGCCAAAGATTAGTGAGATGCAAGAAGTGGCGGTCAGTAAAAAGAACGTTGCAATTGGGAATTCAGACAATTGGAAATTCAGCCTGTAATCAAATTTACTCTGAAAACGAAAAAAATTGCTCAACTTATTCCGTAGTTTAACAATTTTTTTTATGCAGGGATTCCAATTTCCGATTTTTATGAGCAGCGCTTTTTATCGTGTAAGGCATGCTAATTTTCATGCCTTAATTTTGAGTAATTATTGTTCCGACAACTCGAAGATTGGAAAGGAACTTTGAGTTCGGGTCATTTTTCTACCAGCTAATTTTGATTAAGTCAAAGGAAGCTTGCTGGGGCAAGTTTGGTGTCATATTGAAGCCATTTTGGTCGTGATTCGAATTCTTTTAAAAAAATCAAAAAATTTTCTCAGTGTCGAGAAAAACTGGTCTGAATTTTTTCTTCTCAATATCGAGAAACTTCTTTGAATTTTTTTTTAAAGAATCCGAATCACGACCAAAATGGCTTCAATATGACACCAAACTTGACCCTCAACAAGCTTCCTTTGAGGTAATCAAAACAGGCAGGTAAAAAAATGACCCGAACTTAAAGTTCCTTTCCAATCTTCGCGTTGTCGGAACAATAATTTTTCAAAATTAAGGCATGAAAATTAACATGCCTTACACGATAAAGAGCGCTCCTCATAAAAACCGGAAATTTGAATCCCTGCATAAAAAAGTCTGTTGAACTCCGGAATAAGTTGAAACAAGTTGAGCAATTTAGCTCAACTATGAAAAACTTTCAGTTAGTTTTTTTAAACGTAAACGGTATTGCCTGAACAAATTTGACAGTTAAACTTTTCAGACAAATCACAGCCTGGAAGCAATGGAAAAATGGCAATTATTCATACAAAAAAATAGCCAACTTAACTAACAGATGCCAATAAGACTAAATGAAAGTGCAACAAATGGTACTTGTCAAATGATCCAAAAGTAACTCCTTCATCGATATTCGTCAATCGCCGAACTTTGGAAATAGAAAAAATGTGAACGGTAATTTGAAGTAAAATGAATGAAACTAGAATAAAAACAATGGTTTTTAGCATTATTTGAGCTCCAACAAAAGACTCAGAAAAAAATAAGCTGAAAAAAAAACAATCCGATTTTGTTTTAGTTTTTAAGTTTTTTATCGCTCACTTTGCTAATCAAAGCTTTGAAAACCCAGCAGAGCAAAGTAAAACGAATGTTTTATGAATGCTTAAATCGTTTGCACTCATGTGGCTTCAATTATTTAAAGTTATCTTCTTCATCTGCAAACACAAACAGTCGGGCTAGATAATATAAAATGTCAAAACCATTCAAAGGTACTAATGTATTCAGGAAACTACATTAATGGACTTTTTTCTTAATGCTCGAAATTAATAATAGAAATGTGATCGTGCTCAGCTTTATTTTGCGACAAACTATAAGATCATTTTATTTTCGAATTTCATAAGAGCTGAACCCATCGCAAACCTTTGCGAAAAAAAAAATAGACCAAAAAGTGAGAGGCAGTTGAAAGTTAAAACAAACATGGACCCTGATGAGAAGCTTACAATGCATAATAATTTCTAAGACAATAAATAATCAGAACCAACTCAAAAGAAATTTATTCAAGCTAGCCAAAAAAGAAAAACCTTTGAGCCCAAAAAAATTATTGAAAATCCGTAATTTTTCCAAATTTTCGAAAATCTAATTTGAAGGAATGATCTCAGAAAGACAATTACCAAGTTATATACAAAATGACACAAAAACATTTTTCATCTTTCGAATTTTGGGAGAAAATAACATCACATTAAGCTCTCTGAGTTTCAAGAACATTTTATGATTTGCACTTTTTTCATGCAACTAAACCAATTAGGAAAAAAACTGGGCAAACACGTAATTCTTGTATCCCGCTGGAAATTTTGCTGATCAAAACACTTTCAAAAATATAAGCTCTTCACGTTTTTTTCGTGGCCTTTGCAATGTCGTTTTTGGATAGCTTTATTTGCCTTGCCAATAGCCAAAATCATTTTAATTTGAAACCAGAAAAACATCAATTTAATTCCTCTTGCGAAACTAAAAGTCGATCACAACTTTCGCGAATTTTACACATTCGTAAATGAAGAGCGCATTTTGCCTAACTTTTAGCAGATGAAACTGAATTGAACTCGAATAAAGCATATATACGTAGAAGCCTTCATAAATGCATTAATATGTATGAATGCACTTCTTTAAAATACAAGAGCATTTAACAATTTTCCTGAGAAAAGTCACGACCTATAAAAGAGCCTTAACTACGTTCATCGACTCTTAAAATACTTTCTACGGAATTAGACATCGCCACAAGAAAGTTTCACAAAAAATTCAAAAAATCAAAGAGACCGAAAATAGAAAGCAAATCTTTTTGACAACTTTCAAGTTTTAAATAAAAATATATCACCTTAAAGCTGATTGAGTTTCAAAGCTCTTCAATGATTGACAGTTTTTTGATAAAACTAACTTGATAAAGCCAGCAGACAGAGAACGCGCTCTGGTAGACCATGATATTAAATCAGGTTGCGAACAAATGCATAGATATTTATTAAACAGACGCGAAGTTGCACTTCGCATACACAAGCAAAAATATGACCGATAACGCTATTGTGAAAAACTGAAGGAGTAAAAATTCGAGTCTAAAAAATTTCTTAAGTGACGCACGCCAATTATGAGTCTATGACCATAGTCTTAGAGAAAAAAAAACAGTGTCTTTCAAAATAGTGTCGTTTTTTCGGCGTGGTGTGATAAAAAGAGCTGTACAAAAAGTTTAGAGATTACGCATATTAAAGTAGTAAAATAAGCATATTGAATTAAACGAACAATTTTAGTGAAAAATTACTAGAAAAACGAAAAAAATCACGTTACTCAAGTAACACTAAGTTTTTACGTTTTCAATTAAGCTATTGTAAGCTTTTAAGCAATTACAATAAGACTCTTGAACGCACTCGGAAGGGAATGGACACGGCAAAATGAAAAGAGACACGGCAAAATAAATTAGAAAAGAGACACGGCAAAATGCGCTCGCTCGCGTTCTTAGCTCGAAATAAAACGAAAAATCAAAAACTTCAAGCAATTTAGAAAAACAAAAACTTCAAGCTTTTAAACAATTTAAAAAAGATTTGCTTTCTATTTTCGGTCTCTTTGAATTTTTTGTGAAACTTTCTTGTGGCGATGTCTAATTCCGTAGAAAGTATTTTAAGAGTCGATGAACGTAGTTTAGGCTCTTTCATAGGTCGTGACTTTTCTCAGGAAAATTGTTAAATTGCTCTTGTATTTTAAAGAAGTGCATTCATACATGTTAATGCATTTGTGAAGGCTTCTACGTATATATGCTTTATTTGAGTTCAATTCAGTTTCATCTGCTAAAAATTAGGCAAAACGTGCTCGCTCGCTTTCTTAGCTCGAAATAAAACGAAAACCTTCAAACCAGTTTTTCTCAACATTAGGTAAATTTTTTGAAAATTTTTTCATGTCGTTCGAATCACGACTGTAAGAACTTTAATAAGATGTATTGCTCAACTCTCTCCGATAATTATTTTGGTAGCTGATTTTGCGTGGAAAAAAAAACTGAAAAACACCCAAATACATAATTCCTCCCCATTTTCAAATGATCGAAAAAAAAAACAACTGTCTTGTGTCGAAACCGAATCCCGACCTGGAGACTAGGTGCCTCACATTTTCGCATCTGCGCCACGGTAGCTTCAAAGTTTACTAACATTAGCCAGCAAAACAGCAGCTATAGATACTATTAAATTGCCGATACTACGCATTGAAGCAAAAGAGCTTTTTTATTAGCTAGCAAGGTTGAAAAAAAGTTTCGTGCTATTTTGCTATTTTTTTTCTAATAGGCTAGCAGAAGTTTCAAGTATTGAACCACCGCGAGAAAAAAAGTTGCATACACTAAAATACAGTTTTTTTACGCAATCATTTTTTCGCTTTGGAATTCGAATCAAAGCAGATTTAGCTTTTATATGATGCATCACTGATGCCGTCATTGTATACAGAGAGGCGAAGCTTCGCTTCGCAAACACTAGTGAACACGACAAAAAGCAGCTCTATGAAATGCAATAAGAAAAATTAGAAATAAGCCTCGAATTAGTAAAAACTCGGACACCCCTCGGGTTCGAACCTGCCACCGAGGGATAATCAATCTTGCATACTAACCACTCAGCCACCGACGCTTAATAGGCATCAGACACTAGCCACAAATTAGGCAGAGAACAGATGCTATGCAATTTCCAATGCGACAGTGAAATTTGCAATAATTGAATGAACACTTTTATTTGCGAGATAGATTAGAAAAAACGAAGATTCGTTATAACACACTACGTTGATCGCAAGTGTCAAAAGACTAGCTCTTACAAATTTGTTTAAAAATTTGGCAAGTTCAGCAGCAGTGCATTGCTATTTTTATTTAAAGAAAAAAAATAATTTGCCCAACTACCAGTAAATAAAAAAGCAAATCAACGTCACTGGTTAGTTTAACAACTGTATTTTATTAAAGCTAACGTGACGTTTCAGACCTGATTTTCATTCTCTTGATTGACACTTGGTAGAATTGACAAATGACAAAAATGCAATTTGGTAATCTACATGGAATACCTTTAACCGTTTAGATCAAAAAGCATGATCAGTTAAAAGTCCATTACCCGGCATGAAGCATTTTCTCATTTTGGCTCTTCAATTTCGCACATGGTGTAAAAACATAGAGTGGCAGAAATAAAGAACCAGTTTGGGCATATCAAAATAAACAGACTCAGAGCAGAGTGTTTGTAGCAGAGTAGCTGGGCTAGAAAGTAGTTTGGCGCACTTTTCCACTGTTTACCTTGGCAAGACAAATGCCACCAGCTTCAAATGACACTTTGCGAATTCGTATAATCAAAACCCCGACTGCGCTTGCGAGAACTGCAACCGCACTTAACACCCCGCAGTATAAACTACTTCCTAAATTACTAAGTTGTCCAAGATCAAAAAATGTCACGCTAGCCTTCGTTCTGGTACGGTATAATTCCTCCAATTTAACCTGTCCACGAGGCTGTTAACTTAAATCATTACGGCAATTTGGAGGATCGTCCTCGTTTCGAACTTGGCGGTGGGTGAAACTTTATTAACTAAGGGGTAAACTGGTTATTGAAACAAGTGAAACAATATTTATCATGTCCGTATAGTCCCAACTATAAACAAAATATAAACTGGTACTGTGTTTTGAGCGAGAAAGAGATAAGATATGCAATCAATGAAGTTGGAAAAATTTGTGAGCTAACAACTGGTCTAAAGCGACAATTCGCACTTTTTCGAAATTCGCAGAGTATTTAACTGGTACGCCACAATTAGGCTGATACCTGGTAGACGTGCCAAAACTGGACTCCGAGCTGTTTACGAAAACGCCTGGCGGTTATCAGCGCAAAAGCCGACAAGAACCCACCGCCAGGCCATTGGGAGAAAGTTTGAGCTAACATTTGTCGCATAGCTAAAGTCTAGCTTTTCTTAACACTACAAGTTGTGGCCTTTCGACCAGATGTCGCTTTCGACGAATTGTCGCCTCACCGGAAACATTAGCTGAAAGAACGGAAGCACTTACGGATAGAGAGAATTCGGCACGTGCTTGGTCCATCTGCCATGAATCACCCAGATTCTCCTCGCTGGAATCATGAGCTAAAAAACACATAGCTAACAGACAGTTTGAAAAGTAACAATGAGCTCAAGATTCTCTGATTAAATTTCAATTTTTGACGGCCAAAAATCACCTTATAGCTCAAGAATTTCAAGAATCTTTTATGATCGATCGTCCAAAAAACAGCCCACAGACAGATGGAAAAGAGTCCATGAACGCAAGTAAACAGAAATATTAGCTTTCGAATTTCAAAGAAAAAAAATTGACTGCCTTAAAGCTCTTTGAACTTCTAGAACATTTTATGACTGATAGTTTTTGGATAAAATTAACCCAGTTTGAGGAAATTGGATCAGAAGCTAAATATTTTGTTTCGTTGGGAAATCTGATAATTATATTCCATTTTCGAAATTAGAAGTCAAACACGTTTTTCGTGACCTCGCACTTTTGCTGTTCGATAATGGAGTTTGCCTTCCTTTTGACATAGGAAATGAACTGGATTTAAAAAGAAATCAAAAGTCAAACTGCGAAAAAATCATCGCGACCTATATAAGCTTCTGAACTACGTTTATCGACGAATTTGAGAAAACTGGATCATTAGGTAATATTTCATGGCGCTGAAAACTCTGCAAATTGAATTCTTTCCTTGAATTCTTTCCTTGAAACTAGGCGTCATCCACTTTTTTTGCGCAAATTGAAATTTTCAAAAGCATTGTCTCCTTTACCAAAAAAATTTGAAATTGACTTTTTTTTACAAGGGTTAATAAAAGAAAAAAAGTTAAACAAAAAATAAAACTGAGCATGAGCAACTTTTAAGACTTTTAAACATCAATACGACCTACATATGTGTCTTCACAACGTTCATTGACACTTAAACGTCACTATTTAAAAATAATTTGATGTACCTTCATTCAATACATGATTTTCGCCAGTCCTTCAGTTTTCCGTAGATCTCATTTTGATTATCTCAGTCTGGTGAAAATGAAAATATACTATGCAACAGCTTGGAAATCGGATTTCCAATTTCAAGACAATTAACCGCTTAATCCTATTTTGCTCCACTTTCTTGAAACTAATGCTTATCTGATTGCGCGGACACATTTGTACCATTTGAAATCAAATGTCGCCTTTTTTTATAATAATCTCCGGAATAGTAAACTTAAGCTTTTTTAAATAAAATCAAAAGTGCCCAAGATGGAGCCACTGATCATCATGATCTGAAAACTCGATAGGGCTACATCAAAAAAATCCATTACCAAAGCTTTTCTACTGAGAAAATCACATTTTTTGGAAGAACATAACCATCCACAAAATTGTGATCAACAATGAGCAGCTGAAATAATGTGATTGATTTTAAATAGACATTATTTGATCAAACATATATGACTTACGGAATGTATTAGTCTCCATGTACTTGGGCTCATATTGGTGTTTCAATTCTGTCTGGATGAAGTCCACTACTTTGTATGCATTCACATTCTTCTCCTTCTCCGAGAAATTCGAGTCCAGCAGAGACTTCCACGTATCCGGAAAGTTCTGCACAAAGTTGTTCCAACATTTTTGCATACTACTCTTCATCACTTTATACACTGCGGTTATAAATTATAATAACTGACACAGAAACCTAGGCTCTACTTTATGCTAATTGACAGTAAACTCAGAGCCGCTTTTGACTGACAATAAAACAGCACAAATACGATTATGATAGGTTTCAAGTAATTTTACCATTTTGATATAATTTTCTTCAACAACGAGTCACTTCAAAGCATTGCGTCAAAAGCTTATTACTTAATATAAATGAAATGTTATTTAGTAAGCAAGCAAACGATGCTAGCGAATTCAAACCTTAATTTCTCCGTTTGTTCCGATCTCTAGATGGACATTGTGAGTAAAACTGTATGGGGTTCCAATGCTCAGCTCTTTGGACTGTTTCGACTGTTCTAAAAAGATTGATTTAATGGTTGAAACCTATAAGACCCATCATTTCCAAGAAATAGTCAAAACTACTTCTAAATATAGCCTAAATACAGCTTCTTATATATTTGTAAAGCTAAATAAATCGGGTTTAAAATTTGCAATTTTGTGAATCTTTATGATTAGCACTTTTTAGATAAAACGAAATCATTCAGCCAGCAATATTTTAAAATCTGATTGACAAATCAAAATAAGTTTCAGTGTGAAAACTAAACATAAAAAGCGCAATTTTCACTGAGAGCTCCGAAAAACCATAGGGACGTGCAAACACATAAAGAGAAATTCAATGCTTATAAGACAGTGGTTGACGAATAATCACAAACAAGACTGCTCGTATGTCATGGCAAAGTCCTGATTGTTCCGAATGACACTTAACAGCTCTCGAATAGTTTTGCTATATAAAATGTTGATCTATTAAAACTGCTAAAAAATAAATTCAAGAGCCAAACGCTGAGAAGAACCAATCTGACTAACTAATTAGCCTCAATTCAATTTGGAACGATGATGAGCGCGGATAAACTGCAACGCAACAAAAAGTTCGCGTATTGAAACTATTGGGTATTGATCGAGCAGCTATACCAAAAGCATTTCAGTCTAGTGCAAGCAAACTCGATTAGCAACTCAAAGATTTCATGATCGATACCCATACGCTTTCAACTTTCTTCGTAAAAATCTACTATCACCAAAACGATCAAAAAAATAGCATAGAAAATAAAAAAACATCCCTCTTTGAGCTGATAGGCACAATTAAAAATGCAAATAAACTTTAAACAAGGATGGCCGGTTACTGTGCAAGTAGCACAGACTGTTCCAACTATAGTCTAAATTCTTTTTTAAAGTATTGTTTTTTTTTACACATTAGTATCGTTAACTTTTGCATGGTATGATAAAATGATCTGAACGAAAAACTGGAACTTAGGAATATTCGACAGGCTTAGCAGAAAAGGCAAAAATTGTAGAAAAGTTACAAAGACAACAAAAAATCAAAATTGATTAAAAAAATTAGTTTTCACCGCTTAAAGGAAGCAAAAATAAGCCATTGTAAGTCGTTCGGATTATTCGTTCGAATTTGGACTAAAAATCAAGTTTTTCTCAATACTGGTACAATTTTTTGGAAACTTTATGGAGTCGTTCGAATCAAGACAGAAAGGGCTTGAATATGATATATCAATCGACACATTCCCCAATCGACCCATTCCTGTTGTCGGTTATGTAAGACAATAATCTGAAATAGCCGACAATTTTCCAGTCGCAAAAAAAATTGCGACTGGAATCGAACTCCTCGGCTTTTTCTTCTCAAGCATGGAGGTTACAGCAACTTGGAAGAAAGCTGAACCTTAAAAAAACCGGCTCCGGAAACTACGCCAAAAAAACAAACAGACGAACGATTGTCCGAAAAATTACTCTAGTTTGCAAAAAAAAAAACTTCCCGACCGGACTCGAACTACAAGCTTTTGTCGTCTCGAGCAGTTTCGTTACCTCACTGCCAGATCGTCGATTGAAAATGAACGTATAATAAAGATTAAAACACCTGTAAAATTTTTACTTGCCAATTCTGTGAACAATGTTGTTTACGAGAAAAAATCTAAAATCCGGCTACAACATCGACATTAAACTTTTTCAAGAAAAAAACTTTTCAATTTGAAAATAAGCTGTCTCCGTTCCTGAATTAAGCCAGCTTTTTGGTCGTCCTAAGCAAGTTTGTTACCTCTCGGCTAAAAGCGTACGAGTCGTCTGGAGATCGCATTTCTTTGAAGCATGTAACATCTCACGTGCCAAATAAGTTAGCGGTTGTTTAAGGGTAAAAAATCTAGCACCAGATTGCAATACTTACAAAACCCTTGAATATCGCAAGGGTGAAAATGCTGTTTTGGTTCATCTAATTTCAGTAGACTTTCAAGATTTTCACGCCTCCAAAGTACCACCCAACTAAAAATGAAAAAATAAAAACAGAAAAAAAAACCTGAAACAAACCCGAAGATAAAATCACGCCAAACGCCAGCTATCGAATATGTAGGAATTTCGCTTTGAAAACACTAAACCAAACAAACTAATTATCTACATAGCATATCTAAATTACTTAAAAGCATCGAGAAGTTCATTTTCGGCGAGCGATTATTTAAAAGTATTTGACCCGATAAGTTATTGGGATTCATTAGAAAATATTCGATTCCTTAAAGTACATTACAACGGCAATGCACAGCATCTCATCACTTCCGGTACAACTGAACCATTGCGTTTCAAAATCGTAAATAAAAAAAGAAGACAAAAAACTTTTTTTTTCAAAAACTAAGAGGAAAATTACACCTGCAAAACATTTCCGCGTGATATTTAAGGCTACAAAAAAGTTTGGGTCGGTCCGTGTTGATCCAAAAAAAAATGTTCCCATAAAAAAGTTGCAACACAAAGAAGCCTGTGATTATATTTTCTCCTCGAAACTAAACAAAAGAAGCTGACTAAAACAAAACAACATGAACTGAAACCGCGTAAAAAAAATTATTAAGAATCAGATTTAGTAATTTTACAAAAAAAAAACAATGCTTTGGAACGGACAACAAACAAAACCGTGCCAAATAATATGAAAAACATATAAAAAAACACGGAAAATGGACCAACAGGAGCCAACAAAAATCACAAATCCGCAAAAAAATTACATATTTTCAAAATATTTATTTGGAACCATAATTACGAAACGAACTCTAGCTTGAAAGAGAACTCTATCTAAAAACTAACAAATTTTAGTTTCGGTTAAACTTTGAAGAAGCAGCAAGTCAGCAGTTTGCGCGTGAAACTTACAATTATTCGTAGATCGGCCAATCTGTGATCGCAAGGGACGAACGATTGTCCGAAAAATTACTCTTAGTTTGCAAAAAAAAAACACATTTCCCGACCGGACTCGAACTACAAGCTTTTGTCGTCTCGAGCAGTTTCGTTACCTCACTGCCAGATCGTTGATTGAAAATGAACGTATAATAAAGATTAAAACACATGTAAAATTTTTACTTGCCAATTCTGTGAACAATGTTGTTTACGAGAAAAAATCTAAAATCCGGCTACAACATCGACATTAAACTTTTTCAAGAAAAAAACTTTTCAATTTGAAAATAAGCTGTCTCCGTTCCTGAATTAAGCCAGCTTTTTGGTCGTCCTAAGCAAGTTTGTTACCTCTCGGCTAAAAGCGTACGAGTCGTCTGGAGATCGCATTTCTTTGAAGCATGTAACATCTCACGTGCCAAATAAGTTAGCGGTTGTTTAAGGATAAAAAATCTAGCACCAGATTGCAATACTTACAAAACCCTTGAATATCGCAAGGGTGAAAATGCTGTTTTGGTTCATCTAATTTCAGTAGACTTTCAAGATTTTCACGCCTCCAAAGTACCACCCAACTAAAAATGAAAAAATAAAAACAGAAAAAAAAACCTGAAACAAACCCGAAGATAAAATCACGCCAAACGCCAGCTATCGAATATGTAGGAATTTCGCTTTGAAAACACTAAGCCAAACAAACTAATTATCTACATAGCATATCTAAATTACTTAAAAGCATCGAGAAGTTCATTTTCGGCGAGCGATTATTTAAAAGTATTTGACCCGATAAGTTATTGGGATCCATTAGAAAATATTCGATTCCTTAAAGTACATTACACAGGCAATGCACAGCATCTCATCACTTCCGGTACAACTGAACCATTGCGTTTCAAAATCGTAAATAAAAAAAGAAGACAAAAAACTTTTTTCAAAAACTAAGAGGAAAATTACACCTGCAAAACATTTCCGCGTGATATTTAAGGCTACAAAAAAGTTTGGGTCGGTCCGTGTTGATCCAAAAAAAATGTTCCCATAAAAAAGTTGCAACACAAAGAAGCCTGTGATTATATTTTCTCCTCGAAACTAAACAAAAGAAGCTGACTAAAACAAAACAACATGAACTGAAACCGCGTAAAAAAAATTATTCAGAATCAGATTTAGTAATTTTACAAAAAAAAACAATGCTTTGGAACGGACAACAAACAAAACCGTGCCAAATAATATGAAAAACATATAAAAAAACACGGAAAATGGACCAACAGGAGCCAACACAAATCACAAATCCGCAAAAAAAATTACATATTTTCAAAATATTTATTTGGAACCATAATTACGAAACGAACTCTAGCTTGAAAGAGAACTCTATCTAAAAACTAACAAATTTTAGTTTCGGTTAAACTTTGAAGAAGCAGCAAGTCAGCAGTTTGCGCGTGAAACTTACAATTATTCGTAGATCGGCCAATCTGTGATCGCAAGGGACGAACGATTGTCCGAAAAATTACTCTTAGTTTGCAAAAAAAAACACATTTCCCGACCGGACTCGAACTACAAGCTTTTGTCGTCTCGAGCAGTTTCGTTACCTCACTGCCAGATCGTTGATTGAAAATGAACGTATAATAAAGATTAAAACACATGTAAAATTTTTACTTGCCAATTCTGTGAACAATGTTGTTTACGAGAAAAAATCTAAAATCCGGCTACAACATCGACATTAAACTTTTTCAAGAAAAAAACTTTTAATTTGAAAATAAGCTGTCTCCGTTCCTGAATTAAGCCAGCTTTTTGGTCGTCCTAAGCAAGTTTGTTACCTCTCGGCTAAAAGCGTACGAGTCGTCTGGAGATCGCATTTCTTTGAAGTATGTAACATCTCACGTGCCAAATAAGTTAGCGGTTGTTTAAGGGTAAAAAATCTAGCACCAGATTGCAATACTTACAAAACCCTTGAATATCGCAAGGGTGAAAATGCTGTTTTGGTTCATCTAATTTCAGTAGACTTTCAAGATTTTCACGCCTCCAAAGTACCACCCAACTAAAAATGAAAAAATAAAAACAGAAAAAAAAACCTGAAACAAACCCGAAGATAAAATCACGCCAAACGCCAGCTATCGAATATGTAGGAATTTCGCTTTGAAAACACTAAACCAAACAAACTAATTATCTACATAGCATATCTAAATTACTTAAAAGCATCGAGAAGTTCATTTTCGGCGAGCGATTATTTAAAAGTATTTGACCCGATAAGTTATTGGGATCCATTAGAAAATATTCGATTCCTTAAAGTACATTACACAGGCAATGCACAGCATCTCATCACTTCCGGTACAACTGAACCATTGCGTTTCAAAATCGTAAATAAAAAAAGAAGACAAAAAACTTTTTTTTTTCAAAATTTAAGAGGAAAATTACACCTGCAAAACATTTCCGCGTGATATTTAAGGCTACAAAAAAGTTTGGGTCGGTCCGTGTTGATCCAAAAAAAATGTTCCCATAAAAAAGTTGCAACACAAAGAAGCCTGTGATTATATTTTCTCCTCGAAACTAAGCAAAAGAAGCTGACTAAAACAAAGCAACATGAACTGAAACCGCGTAAAAAAAATTATTCAGAATCAGATTTAGTAATTTTACAAAAAAAAACAATGCTTTGGAACGGACAACAAACAAAACCGTGCCAAATAATATGAAAAACATATAAAAAAAACACGGAAAATGGACCAACAGGAGCTAACAAAAATCACAAATCCGCAAAAAAATTACATATTTTCAAAATATTTATTTGGAACCATAATTACGAAACGAACTCTAGCTTGAAAGAGAACTCTATCTAAAAACTAACAAATTTTAGTTTCAGTTAAACTTTCAAGAAGCAGCATGTCAGCAGTTTGCGCGTGAAACTTACAATTATTCGTAGATCGGCCAATCTGTGATCGCAAGGGACGAACGATTGTCCGAAAAATTACTCTTAGTTTGCAAAAAAAACACATTTCCCGACCGGACTCGAACTACAAGCTTTTGTCGTCTCGAGCAGTTTTGTTACCTCCCTGCCAGATCGTTGATTGAAAATGAACGTATAATAAAGATTAAAACACATGTAAAATTTTTACTTGCCAATTCTGTGAACAATGTTGTTTACGAGAAAAAAATCTAAAATCCGGCTACAACATCGACATTAAACTTTTTCAAGAAAAAAATTTTTCAATTTGAAAATAAGCTGTCTCCGTTCCTGAATTAAGCCAGCTTTTTGGTCGTCCTAAGCAAGTTTGTTACCTCTCGGCTAAAAGCGTACGAGTCGTCTTTGAGATCGCATTTCTTTGAAGCACGTAACATTTCACGTGCAAAATAAGTTAGCGGTTGTTTAAGGGTAAAAAATCTAGCACCATATTGCAAAAATTACAAAACCCTTGAATATTGCAAGGGTGAAAATGCTGTTTCGGTTCATTTAATTTCAGTAGACTTTCAAGATTTTCACGCCTCCAAAGTACCACCCAACTAAAAATGAAAAAATAAAAACAAAAAAAAACCTGAAACAAACCCGAAGACAAAATCGCGCCAAACGCCAGCTATCGAATATGTAGGAAACTCTCTTTGAAAACACTAAACCAAACAAACCATTTATCTACATAGCATATCTAAATTACTTAAAAGCATCGAGAAGTTCATTTTCGGCGGGCGATTATTTAAAAGTATTTGACCCGATAAGTTATTGGGATCCATTAGAAAATATTCGATTCCTTAAAATACATTACACAGGCAATGCAGAGCTTCTCATCACTTCCGGTACAACTGAAACATTTCAAAATTTCAAAATCGTAAATAAAAAAAGAAGACAAAAAACTGTTTTTTTTGTGAAAAACTAAGTGGAAAATTACACCTGCAAAACATTTCCGCGTGATATTTAAGGCTACAAAAAAGTTTGGGTCGGTCCGTGTTGATTCAAAAAAGAATGTTCCCATAACAAAGGTTGCAACACAAAGAATCCTGTGATTATATTTTCTCCTCGAAACTAAACAAAAGAAGCTGACTAAAACAAAATAAAATGAACTGAAACCGCGTAAAAAAATTCAAAAATCAGATTTAGTAATTTTACAAAATAAAAACAATGCTTTGGAACGCACACCAAACAAAACCATGCCAAATAATATGAATGACATATAAAAGAAAAAAACGGAAAAAGAACCAACAGATGCTAACAAAAATCACAAATCCGAAAAAAAGTCATATTTTCAAAATATTTATTTGGAACAATAATTACGAAACGAACTCTAGCTTGAAAGAGAACTCTATCTAAAAACTAAAAGATTTTAATTTAGGTTAAACTTTCAAGAAGCAGCATGTCAGCAGTTTGCGCGTGAAACTTACAATTATTCGTAAATCGGCCAATCTGTGATCGCAAGGGTAACACAGAGGCGAAGCTGATCTGCGCACCACATGCGATACATCTAGATTTATCAAGTTGAATAAAGATAGTTGGAGAAAAACAAGCCGGAACATTAAAATGGAAAATCAATATAGGAACAAAACTTACTCAGCGGTGACAAATCCGAGAAAATACCTGAGCAAACTCTTTGAGCCAATTTTTTTTTAATTCAACACTAATTAAAAAAACTTACGTCCCCCTGCCCCGTAACACAAACAGGCACAAAAAAAACAGCCAAAACCTTCGTTAAAACTATAAAACTACCCAACATTAGGTCAGATAAGGAATGGCTGGATGGATAGATAAATGAATGGACAGATGTCTGGCTGGATGGTTGGAGGAACGGATAGATGACTGAATAGATAGTTGGATGACTAGATAATGAATGGCTTGATGGATAGATCAATGGGTGGAAAGATGGCTGGCTCGATGGTGGGAGGAACGGATAGATGACTTGATAGATGTCTTAATTGCTGGTTGGATGGATGGACAGACGATGGATGGCCTGATGGATGAAGAGCTGGCTGGACGGATAGCTAGATAAATGGTTTGATGGATTAATGGATGGTTTGATAGATGGCTGAATGTTTGATCGCATGGACGGCTCAATGTACGAATGGTTGGATGGATCCCACCATCATCCATCACTACCCTGCCCAGGCGTGCTCTATCTCCAATTTATTGCACTGTCTTCCCGTTGCCCTGCCCTCGCACTGCTCTACCATAGCTCACCCTGCCTCGCATAGCGCTGCCCTACTTTGACCATCCTCGCCCTGTGCTGTCCTACTGTCTTATCCTTCTTCGCCCGGCCTTATGCTGCTCTGCCCGGTCTTGAGCTGTCCAGTCCCTTCTCGCCCTGCATTTCCCTGCCTTGAACCTTCTCGCTCTGCCCTAAACTACCTTGAACCTCCTTGCGCTGCCCTGGTTTGCCCCGAATTGCTAAAACTGCTCTCAACCAACCCTGCTTGGCGCTGCCCTACCCTGTCTTGCCTCTCCTCGCCCTGCGTTGCCATACCGTGCCTTGCGCTGCTCGGCCTTGCACTGCCCTGCTTGGCGTTGCCTCACGCTGCCCTACCCTGCTTGGCGTTGCCTTACGCTGCCCTACCGGCCTTGCCCCTCCTCGGCCTGCCCTGCTCTGTCTTTCTCTGAAATGTTTCTAAAGTCTAAAGCATGGCAATATACGATATAGCTTGAACGTGCAAACTTTCGTGTGTTCCAGATGAGCCCTGTGAACAAAGTTGTTTACGGAAAAAGTCAAGTTTCCGATTGCAATACCCTTGCTTAACACAAAGGTTATAAAGCATTCAACAACAAAAAAATGTTTTGACAAGTCGTTTAGAATCATTAAAAACGGACTTGAAATACACCGTATCCGGTACATAATGTGAAAACATTTCTTACTTTTCTTGCTAAACACTTTAAATGACTTCTTTGATTTCTCTTTAACTGGAGGTTCTGGAAGAGCTTTGTCATAACTCTTAGCCATATTGTCGTTTCCTCCAGAATATTTGCTTTGATTGGTAATATTAGAAGCATATTTGTCCGTTGAACGCTGGCTAACATTGCCATAATCTGGGTCGGAAACTCTAATTGTGTACTGCTGTGTGCTTGCATTTCTAACGGGAGGAGGGGGAGGTAATTCGTTAGAAAACTGATTCATAATTTCATTCATCCTGAAACGAAATGGGTCAAAAACTCTTGGTTCGTAATTTCTAAATGCTCAAAATAAGACAATTGCTACCCCATGAGAAAGAAAAATTTTAGTCAGAAATGAGAACGCGTTACCAGCAGCTTAACCACTTCAGAAAACCTAATACAACATTTTTGAATCCATGATATCCCAAATGAAAAAATGATCAAATGTAATGCTACTATGTCTGTATGCGCCCATTGACGCGCATCAAAATTCATCTTCACCGATATGTTTTGAGCTTCACTTTGGGACCATGTGGGTTGAATCTAAGATCCAATCCAAAAATTCAAAAGAATTCTCAAGAAGGCAGCCTGCAGGCCAGAAAACAACGCTGAATATCGAATTGACTGAAACTAAAATAAACAAAGATAGTCGCCTGCTGAGCAAGTAGCACAGAAAGTTCCGATCACACTAATTTGACAACGGAAGTTCGAGTGCTTCTTTGCGGAAGTACCCACGCAAAGACTCACGGCATGGACCAAATTTTGGACAAACCCAATGTATCATCGTTGCCCAACTCGTAAGTTAATCCGGGAACGGAGAAATCCAGCGACTTTCCAATCATGTTGATGAGTTCCCAGGCTTTTTCGGGGTCTGCCGAAGGGATTTCTTACTGGCTTCCGAGCCACTACAAGGTGTGGCGATGTTGAGCAATTTTACCATAAAACAACCAGAAAGGCCTTAGTGTTGAAAAAACGAGGGATATGGAACATTTTGAATTATAACTAATCAAAAATTCTAGTGGCGATCTAACATTTCACAGAAATGTCAGATGCTTTAAGCTTTCAATTAAAAAATAAGGATGATAGAAAGGTAGCATCAATGGTATTCAGTCGTAACCACGATGTCAGCGAACACAGACGCCCGGCTATATCTAATATTTGACGCGACCACAATGGAAGAAAAACAGTGAAAACGCAACAGCCGAATTTACAATAGAAACTAGTCGGAACAATTTGAACAAAAAGAGCCATGGGCAAAACGGGATACTAGTCACTATACTAGTGTAAGCTTCCCGATCAAGTGGAAAAGGAAGGTCCTACGGCAAGTTCCGAAGCGATCCAACAATCCCGTTCCAAGAATTTGGGGAGATAATGACGTAATCACCCAGGAAAAGTTGGAGCGGGGGCTTAATTAAAATATTAAATTCTCTGAATAGCCGTTTAAACTACTGGAATGCACTGAGCGTTGCAATTCAATGCCGTTTAAAAATTTTATTCCGAAGCATGATAAGTTGAGAGAGCAAGAGAAAGTCAAACCATCTCCTATAGTTTCACTTTGTAGATGTTACTTCTTCCGAATGTACGATAAAACTAACCAAAAAAGCCTTAGTGTCGAAAAACCGAGGGATATGGAACATTAAACTCAAGAGAACCCTCCACTCTAGAAACTAGAATAACACAAGACCCATGGTCAAACCCCTGTCCAGAACTCATAGAAACCACAAGGAAAATATACTCCGAAGTGGTCCACTGGAAACCGGTCTTCATGATCTTATCAAAAAATTAAATTGGTTACTATTTCATTGAAACACTCAATAGAACACTGAACAGCCTAATAGAATACCACGAAAAAAAAACGCCTTCGCAATGCACGCAGCAATGATATTTCCACACTTACTACTGTGCAAAATAAAGTCCGAAAACGATGGATCTTTGTCCAAGACAATAGCAAGGCGACTTAAGCAATGGCAAGACGGAGACCTGGATGGCTTGTATAACGAATGGAAGGCGCTGCAAATGCCCTTGACAAAAGGAAGTAGAAGAAAAACTGAAACTGAAGCACAACAGATCAATAAACTAATGAAAACTGGTAAAATATCAAGCGCAATAGCAAAATTAACGGACACATCCAAAGCCGTTCTTGCGCTCGACGAGATCGTTAAAGGTAAGACAGTAGAACAGACTCTTATAGAGAAGCACCCACCATCTGAACCAATTGATGAGAACTATATTACAACAGTTTCAACTGAAACAATTCCTTTCCATCCATTGATATTTGATCAGATGAACGGTCAACATATCAAGAAAGCAGCCATCGACCAGAATGTACGAAAAAAGATAGATAGATAGATAGATAGATACTTAAATTAGTTATAGAATGACATGTATAAATCGTAATAAGACATAACAAATTAAACTATATGTCATGAAGTCTGCGCAGCAGGCGATAAGGAAATATTTTCATTTGCCTCTCCATCTTACAGCGAGCAATAGGTGGATCACGACAGCGCAGGTTGTTTGCTGAGTAGGTAGAACGTGTCGGAACTAAATCGAACAACAGATGATCAGAACCTGTTTGGAGGTTTGCATCGTAGAGTTTTTGGTCAGCTTTTCTAATAGTTGCAGATATTGGTTCATTAGTATCAGTAACGCCGAGCCTTATTGCACGTCTTTGAAACAAATTCATCTTCTCTAGATCTTAAACATTTGAACCACCCCAAACATTAATGCCATAGTAAAGCTTTGGGAGAATAAAAACTCGATACAAAATAGCAAGTTCCTCTTCGAATAACCGATTTTACCAAGACGCCAGATTGAAAAAAGTATAGAATTCGATTGTTTAACAGCTTTGTCAATATGCTTAGAAAAACCAAATTTGGAGTCAATCGTAAACCCCAGCACTTTCAGGTCATCAACAACCTCAATGCCTTCAACCATATGTATGGCATTACTGCCACTGTGGTTGAAAATGATATGCATTTCCTTGGAAGATTTTTGAACATTGAGAAACAAGTTTTTTGCGTCAAATTGGTGACAGAGCGAACTAATAAATTCTCGAGCATTGTCAGCGCCATTGCAGCCAGCTACAAGAGGATTGTTATCGTCAGCATAAGTTGATAACGTGGTGGAAATATCTGAAACATCAATAGCATGGGTAGAGCAATTTTAAAGAGGCGGACCAAGGACAAAGCCCTGAGGGACACCCTGATTAGTATACAAAACAGTTGAATCCAAGCCATTGAGAGATTTATAATGGGCTCTATTTTGCAAGAAGTTAATGATTACGTTGACAACCGCAGGATCGACTACTGGGACAATGTTCATTACTCCTTCTATAACACTCTTGTGGGAAATAGTATCAAAAACTTTTGACATATCTAGAGAAAAGAAGCGAACATAATCATAGTTTTCACGGAAATTCCAGAGATGATGTTGCAGCCAAATGAGCATACAGGAAAGAGAAGAATGTTTACGAAAACCATACTGGTTACGTGTAAGCCATCTGTTATAAGGGCCTTGCATATAGTTCTGGTAAATTAACCTTTCAAACACTCTGGTCATTACAGAAGTAACAGAGACAGGCCTCAAATCCTTTGGCAAGGGAGATATTTTTGCAAGCTTCCAAAACTCCGGGAAAATACCTTGTTCCAAGCACAAGTTGAACATATGACAATAGATTTTGGCCAAATTGTGAGCATTGTCCTTAAAGATCCAAAACGGCAGAGCGTCTGGGCCAGTAGCGGTACGCCTAATGCGTTTCATGGCATTAAATATTTGCAAGAGCGAAAACTGCGGACCGTTATTTGTAGTCTCCAAATAAGTAGGCTTGAATGGGCCTCCAGAAGCAGTGGAGATGCCATTATAGTACTGGTTAAGCTGCTCAGCCGAAAAAGCACAGGTGCGATCTGGGGCTATTGTGTTCTTATTCAATAAATTATTCACACGCTGCCACCAGTTTCGACCACTGGAATCAGAAAAGGCACGTTTAGTAATTAACATACAAACTTGAAGGCCGACAGCATTCGCTTCCGCAAGTTTACCTCGACGTGTATGTCGATGCTTCTTCCTTAAAAGATATTTGATAACCGGAGTCATGAAAGGTGGATCCTTTGAGCTAAGAACAACACGTTTCAATGGACTGGCGACCTTATACAGATTCAGAAGCTCGTTAGAAAGTTCCCCTAACAACACATTTGGATCGTTGTAGTTAAGAAAATAACTTAAATCATGAGTATCCAGCAAATAGTTCAAATGATTTTTGTTAGCAAACCTATGGTAACGAAAGTAAACAACCTTCTTTTCAGATTGTTCAACACCATGATAAGCAACCAAACCCATATGGTCTGTTCTCAGAGTAGACGTAAATCGTTCAATACCATTGAAATAAATTTCATCTGAACACAATATTTTGTCAAGTCTATTATTCCCGCGTGTGGGTTCCGTACAAACATCGTAAAGACCGCAATCTAATACGAGGTCAGCAGTATCCAAGTTATTGAAATCCCCACAGAGTACAATAATTGACGATGGGTTCTGGTCCCTGAAGACATTGATGGAATGTGAGATATGAATTTCTAGCTGACGGCCATACGTAGCATCAGGTGGGAAATAAACCGAACAGACCAACAAAAATTTATTTCCTACGCTAAGTGACAGCCACAGATTTTCATACTGATCAGAATGATGACAAGTCCACCGATCACTGACAATACCTTTACGAACAAAAATACAGACACCGCCGCCTGTGGTTTTGTTTTAGTTCAACGAACTGCGGACTTTCCTAAATATATTATACCAAGGAAGAGCAATAAACGAATTATCAATGTCCGTGGTTAACCAAGACTCAGTTATACAGATAATATCAAATCCGTGATAACTGGCATCACACTGTAGTTCATAAATGGCATTATGTTTTTTCAATGAACGGGCATTCAGCAAACAGAGAGTAATTTTGCGGTTGGCTAGTCAAAACACATGTTCTTTGCCATCCAGATACAATTTTAAATCTTTAACTCTCAGTCTATCCTTTGAGATACCGGTTTCGACAAGTTTATAACGTTCAGAGAGAATACGCGACTCCAATTTCTTTTCGTCAACAGTAAGCTCTCTGGATAAGTAGATGCGATCAGAATAATCTTTCAAGATATACGATTGAACCACGAACCACGCAACTTACGAACCAGCCATGGATTCTTAAACCTCACCAGCAAGGTTCTCGGCCTGGTAGCATCAGATCGATACTTTCCCAGCCGA